CGCGAAATTCAAAACAAACAATCTACAAGAACGTATCTTTTTATCGATAATGAGGAAGTAAAGCCTTATATATTTGTTTTCCGGATATGCAAAATTGGAAATATAGCGTAAAATGATAGAATAAAGTTATCAATACCACAAATGCTCAGCATTGAAATGATTTGTTTGTTTTCATACATTCGCGCAGACTACTCGAGGGTTATCAGTGCTAGACATTCGTGATCTTGTTCTAGTAGACTTTAGACTGTTAGAGGGAAGACGGCTGGTTAGTCAACAGCACCCACTTCCAACTCTTGAGTTACTCTTGTCTGAACGAATAGTGGGAGTTGACCTTCACCCTTATAACGCACCCACAGCCCCAAACTTAACTGATCGACATTAATAAAAGTTTTTGATTTGTTGCGTTTGCGCAAGTGTTGTGACCACTACGGGGATCGAACCTCGAATTTCAGTATTATAAATTCGATGTTACCGCTAAGCCGGGGGGGGGGGGCAGCCATAATGAAAATTTAAATTTTAGTTTTGAGTGAACGTAATCCATACTGGAGGATTGTAAACATTACAGGATTAAGGCATAAGACTTTCAAGAAAATATCTTAGATCTCGTAAAAAAAAAGAACTCTCTTTCTTTCTTATTTTGTCGATGTTGCTTCGTTTTGGATTCTCAAGGAAAGCCAAAATGCATATTTGATTTCTTTAGCTCAATCGTATGTTATATTCCCATAATTTAAGTTTGCGTGTCGACATAGAAATGTTGAAAACAATTGGAATATAAATATATGCATTTTCGTTGTTTAAAGTATTTAGTTTTCAACATCGCGGATTGATTTTGTAATTCAAGTGTGAAACAGAAAGCGAGCATACTTAGACTTAATTTGGCTTTAATTAGATCAGTTTTTATTTTTTTTGTCCAGAAAAACAAAACTCTAGAAAATCTCGTATAAATTCATGTAGTGAATACCGCAATCAGAAAACTGTTTCTTTCTTTAAGCTCTAAAGGGGCAAATTCTTTTCTTAACGTTACTAATTGCACTTGCAAAGGCACATTTTTTTTCTTTACTATGTCCCACCGTTACTGATAGTTTGAAAAATTACTTACACTGCAGCTTAGTAAACGTGAAACCTAACGGATCATTTACAGAAGTTCAGTTGTGAAAATTATGACATTTGTGATTTTACAAAATGATCAAACTCTGTATTGTTACTTTTAGGCTGTGGTCAACAGTACCGTAACTTGTAACATGACATTCACAAAGACGTCTCAAAAGTTTGGACAATGGTCAGATGTCAAGACTGGTACAGTGTATGGCCTGGGCTTTCCGTCTGAAGGAGATTTAAACAAGGTAGTTTTTATTAATGTAAAAACTGATAGAATGTTTATATCTATATAAATATAATAGTACTGTCTATTGTATGTCCATGTAACTACTTCTATATAAATATAATAGTACTGTCTATTGTATGTCCATGTAACTACTACTATATAAATATAATAGTACTGTCTATTGTATGTCCATGTAACCACTTCGCAGGGTGTGGATGGATATTCACCAAAATTGGTATGGAGGTTCATTAGGTCCATGGGGAAATACATACTTATTTTCAGTTTTGCATTTTGCGGTTTTTAAGGGCGTTTTTGCGGTTTTTTTTTTACCATTACTTTACCCCCTGTTGATGGATCTCCATCAAATTTGGTACGAAGGTTTGTTGGATCTATGAGGCGATTACATGCAAACTTGCGGTTTCAAATTTTGTGTTTTACAGTTCTATGGGTGTTTTTTTTACAATTACATATAAAGGAAGCAACTTTTATATCTTAAGATAACATTTTATTAATCATGA